AACTTCCAAATGTAAGGCAGAGTTACTTGATCGAGACTGCAGCAGTGGAACTTGTTAGAAGACGATGTTTCGGTATGTGTTTTTCGTAAACGCCACAAAGACTTAGAACCATTTTCAATATGGAGAATAACTTGGTTTTCTGCAATAACATTAACGGCTTACTGGCGGCTTTAAATATAAACTATAACCCAGAGGAATGGAGATTGTTTACAGACAGTTTAACATTGAGTTTAAAGGCAGTGTTATCGCATATTGGAAATATTTTACCATCTCTTCCTGTAGGGTATGCGGTTCACATGAAAGAATCATATGACAGTATAAAGTACCTATTGACATGCATAAAATTCGATGAGCACCAATGGCATATTTGTGGCGATTTGAAAGTTGTTGCACTTTTACTTGGGCTGCAGCTAGGCTACACAAAGTTTTGCTGTTTTTGTGTGAATGGGACAGTCGGGCAAAGGCACTTCATTACACCAGACAAAACTGGCCTGTTCGTCAATTCCTAGAGCCAGGTCAAAAAAATGTACAGCGTATGCCATTAGTAGATTCGAACAAAATTTTATTACCACCACTGCATATCAAGTTGGGCCTAATGAAAAACTTTGTCAAGGCATTAGATAGAGATGGGTCAGCTTTTCAATACCTGCGTCAGAAATTTCCAAGACTAAGTGAGGCAAAGGTTAAAGAAGATATTTTTTGTTGGGCCACAGATTCGAAATATTTTGAAAGATACACAGTTTGAAAACACTTTAACAGGTATTGAAAAAACTGCTTGGAATGATTTCCGTCTGGTGGTCACTAATTTCTTGGGAAGTAGAAAAGCTGACAACTATAAAACCCTTGTCAAAAATATGCTGTCATCGTATCAAAAGATGGGCTGTAATATGTCTCTTAAGATACATTTCCTACACTCACACCTGGGCTTTTTTCCTGACAATTGCGGAGCCGTAAGTGATGAGCACGGCGAACGTTTTCATCAGGATATTTCAATAATGGAAAGAAGGTACCAGGGAAAGTGGAATCCTTCCATGCTTGCAGACTACTGCTGGACTCTTGGTAGAGATGCTCCAGAAACGATCCATAAAAGAACAGCAGAAAGACAGCGCATATAGTGATTGTTATAAGTATATGAATTTTGTTACTTTTTTTAATATATCCTTAAACTAAAAAGTTTTTTTCTAAACTGCAACTAATTTTTTTCTTTCATTGTCATTTTTGGATTCAGCGCCCCAAAATTAACAAAGAAGTGCGCTTTTCCCACAAGATACAATTAAAAAACTAAAATTTGTTGTCCAGTGTTATCTGTGTTTAGTGCCTGGTACTTTGCACGATACTTATTACTAACGCAAATTTTCTTTACAGCGAAAATCGGTCTATTCTACCTGATCTTCTATGGCATGCTGGCGGCGCTGGTCGCTATCTGCATGTGGGTATTCTTCCAGACCCTGGACCCCAGAATTCCAAAATGGCAGCTGGACAGGTCCCTAATTGGAACCAACCCCGGTCTAGGGTTTAGACCGATGCCCATGAATAATGAGGAGAGTACCCTCATCTGGTTCCAGGGCTCAAACAAGACCAATTATCAAATTTGGGTGGACCATATATTGCAGTTTTTGGACAGTGAGTATTTTGGCACGGCGGGAGTATTCATTCAGTATTTCTAGGGTTGGATTAATAAAGCAACTTCCAGGACAGCTAGAGATATACCGTACTGATGAATTGTTTATGAGCACAAAACAGCAAGCACTGTTTGGCTGCGGAGACGGAAATCAAACGTGTAGAGAGGTTAAATTAAGGCAAGAAACGTGTTATTAAGGCAAGAAACGTGGATTTCAATTTTAAACATACCCAGTTTCAAAATTAAACAAATTTAAAGACGTTATGGGATTATCCGGAAAAATCGATGCCTTATTCGTTTTATAAATGTTTGCCGTGCACTTAAATGGGGATTTTCCTGCAACTTTAATAGAACCTCCAACTGATTCGCCTCATTGGTGACGCTTGGATTACTTATACATTTTTTTACTATATTCCACTGCTCCACTTGATTCGAAACATTCTCGTAGTGTGGAAAATGTTTCCGGCCTTGGATGTCGCATATTAGGGTACCGTTGCTTTTAAATGCGAGATGCTAGGAAACTATTTCTTTGGCCTTCGCCCAAAACAAACACCTATTCACCATTTCTTCTTTAGAAAAATCCAAGTTATACCAAAGATTGTTTGAAAGTTTTAAAAAATCTCCTACAAGATCGAAAGTACAAAATGTACAAAAGTTAGTTAACGAAGTGTGGCGAAATTACAAATTACAAGCAAAATCCGACAAGGAACTAGATATTATTGTATCTAAGAGAATCGAAGAAGAATTGCAAGCGGCGACGAAGAATAAATCCAATCTACTAAATTTTTTTTTTAAGGTGAGTGACGAAATCAGTTTAGGTACCCATGAGTACTAGAAATATTAGAAATCGCCAAAAAGTTTCTCTATACTGATTAGAAAATATTATGGCCTATCTCAAAGTATAGAGGTAATATTCATTATGCAGGGTGGTCCATAAGTCCTTTGAAATTTCAAATTTGAATAAAATTTAACGGGTGAGCGTGAGCGGCGCGGGCGAGGTGGGGGCAGTATCTTCAGTGTCTGGGAATTCAGTCGTCATGGAGTGTTTCACTGGAGCGGATCGTGCTTTTTGTGTGCGCGCGTTTTATCAAAATAATGATTCGGCAACCATTGCGCGGCGTAAATATCGAGAATACCACAATTTACACAATTTTACAAAGTGTCCAACAGCTCAACGATTAAGAACTGGGTTGCTAAGTTCGAAGAGACTGGTTCGACGTTAGATAAACAGCGGTGGGGTCGACCAAGGACAACTCGTATTGAAGAAAAACATCAACATTGTGGCACAGTCTGTTCGTCAAACTCCTACCCAGTCTACTCGTAAGCGTTCCAGTGCACTAAACGTACCCAGAACATCTTTACAGCTGATTTTAAGGAAAGATTTACGTCTGCACGCTTACAAAATTCAGTTAGTGCAGGAATTAAAAAATAATGACGCTATTCAGAGACTAAACTTTGCGAATGAAATGTTGAATCGATTTTTTTCGCTCAATAATGTGTTGTTCTCGAACGAGGCTCACTTCCATTTAAACGGGCATGTAAATAAACAAAATTGCCGTTATTGGAGCCCCGAAAATCCAAGGCGTAAGCATCAGAAGCCCTTACACAACCCTAAAGTTACAGTTTGGGCTGCTATGTCAGCGCATGGCATCGTAGGCCCTTATTTTTTTGAGGACGACAGAGGTCGCGCATTAACTGTTACTTCGGAGCGGTATGTAGCAATGATAGAAGAGTTTTTGACACCAGCGTTGCAGAATTTTCGAGGCTATAATACGCAGACCTGGTTTCAACAGGACGGAGCAACTGCCCACACCTCCAACACTTCTATGCCCGTCGTCTGTCAACTTTTTCCCAGCAAAGTAATTTCTCGAAGAGGAGACATTTCCTGGCCACCACGTAGTCCAGATTTGACCCCAATGGACTTCTTTTTATGGGGCTACCTCAAGAGTAAAGTGTACGACACCACTCCGCGATCAGTTGATGACCTGAAAGAAAATATCCGAAGAAAAATGGCAAGCATTACAGTGTTGACTTGCCGCGCAGTCATCGACAATTTTAGACGTCGTTTATATGAGTGCCGTGATCGTAATGGATTGCATTTAGACGATGTGATTTTTAAAACATAATTCCCATTCAATAAAGATGATAACAAAATATAATAATTCTTCATAATGTAACTAGTTTGGTTTTATTCGTTTTTTTCCAGCTCAAAGGACTTATGGGCCACCCTGTATTATAAATTTATTTCTTATGATTGATTCCGTCAATTGGTCACAAAGTACAGGATGTTAGTTTTATACATATATAGAAAAACTAACACCCTGTATTTTGTGACCGGAACGAATTGCTCGTTTAAACATATCAGATTTAAAGCCATAGGGTGTTGTATTTACCATATATATTGCCATACTTTGTATTTATGTAGCTTAATAAGAGAATCTTTAGCAGAAGCCATAGAAGTTTTATTTTTAGCCAACCTGTAAACGTGCAGAAAAAAACACAAATTATACAGTCAGCATCAAATATTAAAAAGAGGAAGAAGATAAAATAAAACCGGTAATGAATCACAACAGCAATGCGAAATTAATGAAAATACACATAAACAGAGAGCAAGACCTTCTCAGCAAGCTACGAAAATAAGATTGCTCTACTCGAAAAAAATCTGAATGCTTTGTATTCTGAAAGAGATACTATGCCAAGCCGTGCTGAAGTTGATAAACAGATCATTACGTTGCGCGAGGAAATAAAAACAGCAAAACAGTCTTTAAACAGGAAAGTTCGAAACGCAGTTGCCCAGAAGAAACACAGGGATGGTATGAAAAGAAAGTTAGAATCTTGCAAGCAATCAACATTCTCTATTGAAAACAATCGCGGATATAGCTTTATTTGGGAGTGCAGCAGATGATAGAAGACGAACGGAATCAATTCGCAGCGTAAAAACTCTTGATGAATTCACACAAGAATTACGTAAACTGGATTTAACATTAGTCGCAGTGGGACATATCTTCGTTTGATTCCCAGAAAATCTAATTCTGCAGAGGGACGAAGACATGTATCGACAGACCCTGTTAAGGTCATTCGGACTCAAACTGATCACCACAAGAGCCACTTAGATAGCAAGTTCGCTGAAACATCAATCCATTATTTAGAGAACATAGCATCCATACTTGGACCAGATCAAGTATTTTTCATATCTCAAGATGATAAAGCTCGAGTCCCTATTGGCGTAACTGCGGCAAATAAGCAAGCACCTCTTCTAATGCACATGGAATATAAATCCAAATTACCTCATCACGATTGGGTAATCGCTGAGCGTCATAAATTAATACCATATGTTTATGCTGGTATCAAAATCACTTCCAATATGCTAGACAACCGCAAGCCGTTGGATATTCTGGACCGACATACATCGCTATTCGAAGTGGAAAGCATAGTTCATCTCATGCTCAGGATTTCGAGACGCTTCTCGAACTTGAAGAGTTTCAATCATTAGCTAAAACTGACCATGGACTAGTAAAACCAGTGGTAATCATGACGGTTGATGGAGGGCCAGATGAAAATCCACGTTATCAAAAAGTCATAGGGTTTGCTATACAACACTTTAAGCGACATGATCTCGATGCATTGTTTTTAGCTACCAATGCTCCTGGAAGAAGTGCGTATAACAGAATAGAGCGCAGAATGGCTCCTCTAAGTCGGGAACTGGCTAATTTAATATTGCCTCATGACCATTTTGGGTCTCATTTGGATGAACGTGGCGTTAGAATTGATGAAATGTGCTGAAGTATGGAGTTCAATGGAAATTGATGGCTATAATGTTAATGCAAAATATGTTGGGGCAGGTGAACAAGATCTTCCTGATTTTCCTGACATTAAATGGTATTCAGAACATGTGCGTGAGAGCCAATACTTGCTTCAAATTGTAAAATGTAGAAATACAGAATGCTGTCGTCCAAGTAGTGGCCTATTTAGATTACTAGACAATAGGTGGAAGAACCACCTGTAAAAGTAAAACAAACAGTTGATGACTTGGTTTTGGATGAAGGAGGGCAATTTCTTAATCTTCCATTCAATTTAGCTCTACGCTTAAGTGCTCCACTCAAAGATTTCCTGCAAATGCCCGACGGTAAAATTGAGGCTATCAAGTCGAACATGCAAAACGTGTGGTCTTTATCATGCTTCCGTCAAGTCACTGAATCGTCACATCGAAAATATCCATAAAAAAGTAAACACGCACACTGATAGGAAAGTTAAACCTGTAAGAGTCGCTGCTCGTCGTGCTGATGAACTGATGTGCATTATTCAAAATTTAGAGCACCACGATGTTGAATGGCTCGATGAGAACGACGTAGACATTCCAAAATCCGATGAAAGCGAGCAAACTCACAACACTGAGCAGCAATCGAAGCAATCCAATGTCATCGAAAACTTAGAATCATGGATTCGGGTTTAATGGACTGAAGACTTAATTTGAATTTAATATATGTACCAAAAATTTAAAATAAGTTTGTTATGTTAGTAAGATATAATATTTTTGTCCTTTTGATACCGTATCAGTAAAATAAAATCTCTATCCTAAATCATGTTTTCTTATTTTTCAAATTATAATTATAACGTTATAATTATAATATTAAAAAAAACAATACATTAATTGACAAATGTTTATGTAAGCATGGGGGGAGGGGGTAAGAGTTTTGCTTACTTTTGCTGACAAGGGGGATGGGGGGGGGGTAAATAATTGTAATAAATCTGCTTACGTAATACTTGAACGGCCCCTTATATCAATCTTCTTCTTTTGAATTGTTTTATCCAAATAAGCAATAAAATTTGAGGCATTCCGTTTAAACAATTACAACTTTGATATGTAGGTCAAAATTGGGACACCTTGTATAATTGCCAATATTTTAGAAATGTGTCCTCAAATGTTGTGTATAACATGCCATAAATAGACTTTCCCAAACTGTATATTTGTTTATGAGTAATATTCCGTCCACACAAGGATGGCCCACCCTGTATATAATTTCCTTAAGGTACCACCTGTTTTAGCGAG